ACGCAAATAACTTCAGTCTCAAACCTTTTATACCAGTTCAAGCAAAAGATATTTCATAAATCTTTACAGCACAATCAGTTTTTTGACACAGATATTTCATTAAAATATATATGTATATTCGTACCAAAAGTGCTATTGCTAGCTGCTTCTGCAGCAACATGCTTTCAAATAACCATTGRATTTAACGTAAACAGCCGTATAACACAAAACTGACAGTGACGTAAATGYTTGTGAAGAAGCTTTCATGTGAACWGTTGYAAAATATTTTWGATTAGAGCCGTTTTAAGAGCCATGTGCAACAGGTAAGATATTTGTTGTTAATATTTGAGGTATTGCTTTAGATTTACTAGAAGCAAACCATCTGTATCAGCGATAGAGAAAACTTACCCGTATTTGCCAAACAGTGTGACAGTGGTTCCCCCAACAGGGACGGCTCTGCCGGGTCCRTAGATGTCCCACACGGTGAGAGCAACCTGAGCATTCTGGGGAAGGTCTGGGTATTTGACCGGCAACCGCAGCCACTCGTTCCAGCTTCAAAAATTAAAGGAAAAAAACAAAACAAAAACAAAGTGTAAAGAAAACTGTAACTGTTCAAAAGTTACATAAAACAAGACAACAGCCAGAASACTTCAGCCTGATCTTACTTCCAACGTGTGCTGAATGCTTTGTATGACGTGCGGACGGGCAGGGCCAGCGGTTTCCCCTCCGCAAAAACCTGGCAGGTGACGTAGAGGTCCGAGCAGTTCTCCTGGTACAGGCCTGAGAACCGCAGCATCGGGTCCTCCAGAAGAGCTTTGTAGCTCTTCTGTTCTCGCTTCCCTTCCAGACTACCTCTGTCAGAGGAGAGGAGGAATGTAACACATTCAAACTTCRTTCCAGCTTTAAGAATCAAACATCTGATTGTAAAAATTTTCAATAGGAAGAACGTTTCATTTTGCCTAAAATGTCTAACATTTAGTGATTTCTCTTTTTTTCCTGAATATGTTTCAAATGTTCCTCTGCTCCAACACACCTGATTTGAATGAATGTGTGATTAACAAGCTTCTGCAGAACCTGAAGAGGTAATTCAATCATTGGATCAGGTGGGTTGGAGCAGAGAAACAAACACAAATGTCAAAATCCAGATTAAAATTTGGAGAAAATATCATATATACAGTATATATATATACAGTATATATATACAGTATATATATAC